CCTGGGTCTCATCTATCACTCCAATCCCCTCTGATCTTTTTGGAGTCCCTCTTTTATTTCATCTGGATGATTTTCTCGCCCTGTAAGTGCCGCGACTCCTCGGTGGTGGGTGTTGGCGTCAGGCTTATGACGGCTCAGGGACCGCGCCAGTGCATATAACGCCTCATGAGCTGCCAATGGGGGAGAGGGGGGAGAAAAAGGCAATCTGTCCAATCTCAGATTGGATTCTCCTATCGCAGAAGACGTCTTCAGTCTCTGCACACTCTCACTTCCTCTTCATCCCCCGGGCTCTTTCTCAATCAGACCGGCTCTATTCTTTGTAATTTTGGAGGGCCTGCGAGGACAAGTTAAGAAAATAAGACAAAGGGTTTGGATTTGGCGTCTTTTTCATTTCATATCTTTAATCTGCCCGACGCAGACACCCTCACTGTTGCCATCAAATCCCCCGCCCGGTGTTGCCTTTTTCATTTCCCTTCCTGAAACTTTATTTTTTTTCGTAATCCCACACGACATGCTGAATACGTTGGAAAAACTTTATTAACCTGAGTCTCTGCTGCGGAGCCTTTGGACTTTTTTAAAGGTTTTTAAGGTCAAAGTCGGTGGAATTCACTTTCCTTTTTTGACTTTGACTCAAAGCTCGTCAACGTAACTCGGAGTTCGGGGTTTTTGTTAACGTAGGGTCGGGTTCTAAAACAGCTCCATTCATCTCCTGTGTGTGTCTGAAATCGTAACGCAGCCTGTGAAAATTGAAAACCTCCGTTCCTGGGAACACTGAGCTCCTTCCTAACATCTTGCCGTTTCTTTCTTTTCTTTTTTGTCTTTTGAAGCAGCGCCTGAAGCTGCAGGTGTTGGCGCTGAGGTTGTGTCCTGTGAATGCTGAACGGCTTTAGTCAGGTGGTTCGATGTACGTTTTGTATTCACAGCCTCAGCGTCAGGTCAAAGGACTGGAAAGACGACAGGACCGCGTTGGCAGGGAGCCCGCCGCGTCGGGTTAGCGTGCACCGAGGGCTAGCCTTAGAGTGAATATTCACGTGTATCATTTTAGAATCAAAACCAACATCAGGCTGGAAACATTTTCATTTCACAACAAATGAGTGAAAGAACGCAGCCCCGAGGACGGAGAGTTACGGAGCAGGAGCTGAGTGTGTGAACACACACACACACACACACACCAGCTAACAGTGGTGTGTGCTACTACATGGTAAAGGTGGAGCTAATTAAAAATAATGAGCTGCATGAGTGATGGCGCCACCATCTGTCTCCGCTCCTGATCAAACCTGAGCTCAACAAAACCAAACACCACTCCAGCACCGAGGTCCAGCACCGAGGTCCAGCAGGAACCCAAGAGTTTGGGTCGCACACACACCATCGGTACCAGAACACGGCGTCACAGACTCATTAGAGACGAAAAAAAAAATGACGATATTGAGGGAGGTCAAAGACCAGTTAACAAATACGAACCGACGAAGACGCAGCGTTGACGTTGAAACGGAAGAAACTGATCAGAAGATGAAGATAATTAAATGTCACCTGTAGTTTCACTCTCCGACCACAAGGACATTCACTGTCAGTACCAGCTGAGGTACTGCTGCAGTACTGCACATGCACCGACCCTCGAGTACCATGAAAGTATTGTGTAGTACAGATTTGTTTTTGTGTGTAAAATCAACATCTTAACTGAGTGAGAGAGCGACTGTTTTTAATGTTAATTATGTCTTTAATTAAGAGGAGTTCATTCTGACAGATCAATAAACAGACCTTTGAATAAAGCAAATATAATCGTGAACTCCAGTGTTTACCAGAGGATTAAAAACTATCAGAGATACGTCAACCAGGGATGACGACGAGTTTGAAGTTAATTATGGACAAACACTGAATTACACTGGAATAAATATCTTCTAGTTTTATGGTCCAATAAACCCTCCTTTAGGGCGCTAAAGCTTTAAAAGGCATCTCCGTGATCTAATTAAAAACTGGACACACTGCTGAAAGTGCCATCAGCCCTTTTTCCGTTACACAACAGTAAGTTAATCAAGAGACTCATTTGGTTAATAATCACCGTTTGCCATTGAACACACTTTGAACACAGAGAAGGTCGGAGAAAAGGAATCGCTTTCATTTATTCTTCTTTTGTTCTCCGTTGTTAATAGCCCTCATCTGGTCTTCTGCCCCTCTTCTCGCCTCAGTTTTTCCGCTGTGTTTTTCTCGTCTGCATTCCCTTCCTTCTCATTTCCACCTTTATTTCTCCTTCCTCTCTGGTTAGCTCTGGTGTCTGTTCCAGGGCTATTGTTGCTAACGTTGGCTCTGGTGTCTGTACCAGGACTGTTGTAGCTAGCGTCCCCAGGCTGTCATGTCATTTTTATGTATTGTTACATACTGCACTGTGGAAAAAAAATAACAGGTTGTCATGTCATTTTTATGTATTGTTACATACTGCACTGTGGAAGTGTCAAAAAATAATACGTCAATATGTCGCGATATTTCATTACGATACCGTATCAATCTCCTCAGTCATCAGTTATTGATTTTTTCTCATCAATTCCCAGTCCAATATTCCCTCCGTTCCAAATCTTTATTTACAAACTCAGATACTTTTTTTTCTCCCTCCGTCAGAGACCAGTCTGAACCGGTTTCACTCATTAACATCAGAAATCAGCAGCGTCTGCCTGACAACTTTTTGACTTTGCGCCTTCGCACTGCAAACCCAATAATCATCCAGCTTCAGTCCAGCCTCTGACTGAAACACACACACACACACCGCTCTGTGACACGTCTTCACGGAGCGGCGTAGCCTCGGAGAGCGTGTGGATTTTAATAGACTACATGACTCGATTGCATTGACTGTTCCTAAAGAGCCTGTAACGCTCTGTACCAAAGCAGCAAAACAAAATTATGTCTATTGGCAGCCGTGATTAATTGTACTGTGCCATGTTTTTTTTTTTTTTTTTTCCAGTAAGCCGACATGTGAACCATGAAAGGTAATACAGGAAGCGATAAACGTGAGCCCAATAGTAGATAATGGCCCGGGATGATGATGCAGAATCTATGCTACGGTCACATCACATTAGCGTCACGCCGCTGCTGGTGCACACAGTCTGAAGGCTCCCCCGATCTCAGATGTAATCTTTGACTAGTGCAGGGAGCTCCATTAAAAAACGACTACGCCGACAATTAAACCATGAAAGCCATCATATAAAATGACATTATCAACGGGCCGCTGCCCCAAGTGGCTGATCAGACAGGGTGAGCTGAGCCAGAGAATGATCCATAAACATAATGGACATCAATATTGAAAAGATGACAAATGAGGCTGACGACAGAGGCCGCGATTGAATTTCGGCTGCTTTTTGTTTTCCCCCTGCAAAGTCATTTGTCAGCCACCAGGCGGACGAGGAGACACTGGGTTCCTCTCCAACTTCTCCTCCGTGACGTAAACGACTCAATGAATCAGGGCAATAATGTGTGCGCGACAGAGCAGAGTCTCAGTGAAAGACCAAACACAGGACGTTTGTACTGCCGTCTCTGATTAAACAAAGTATTTTTTTCACTCCTTTAGGGGGCGCCACAGCAGACGATCCGCCCCCGTCTACACTCGATCTCCTGCCTCCTCTACTGTTACACCCCCCTCCTTCACCACATCCATTATTCCCTCCCACCGTCTTTTCGTCCTCCCCTCCCGACGGCCGCTCCGTCTCTTGTCGACTTCGTCCATTTTCTCTTCAGCTCAAGTTCAGACCACGAAGAAAAACGTTACATTAAAGACAAATTAGAAAAAAATTAGGAACATTTACAGAGTCTGAGGAATTTAGGTCAAGCTGTTTTTCTGGACTCCCATCATCCTGTGGTCACGGCCGACGACAGAACGGAACTGGACGCGTGCAGTACCGCACTGCTGCCTGTAGGACTGCTGATAATTCAGATGAACTCCATTAAGAAGGAAATTCAACTTTTTCACTTAAACCCAGATTAAAGAGACGGGATTAAAGTCACGCAGACGATTGTTCAAAAACTGAAACCTGCTGCGTTCACTGTCTGTTTTGAATCTGAAGTAACTGAACTGACACTGTGGTCAAAGGAGGGTTAGCGCCCTCTACTGCAGGGAGGTC